CAGGTAAATTTAATTTGATAAAAATTTTCCATATTAAAACATTTTTATTCCTTTATGCTTTGCTTTGTTGCATTATTGGTCATGGCCTTCATGTTTATTAATCAAGAAGGATCCAGTTTTGACTTTTGGAAGTACAGCAAATATGAAATTGTGATTAGATTACAAATTTATTTCTCAGATGAACTTTGTGACCATATCAAAAGAATGGAGTTATTGTTTCCATTTCCAAAGCTAATTTCTTTTTTAATTTTAAATTTAAGTCTAGTTGGTGTATAGTATTTTATTAGTTATATTGGTTTCAGGTATACAATATAGTGATTTGATATTTTTATACCTTACAATGTAGTGAGTACTTATGAAGCCAATGAAAACTAGAAAGCATAAATTGTATTCTTTGAAGACCTTTTTCCCCTAAAAAAAAAAAAAAAAAGAAAAAGAGCATGTTTATTTCAACTTATTATATATGCATATTTTTAAAGTTTCACTACTTGTTATACAACATTTCTAAATATACAGTATTTCTAAAATTAAAAAATAAACAAATCCGCTCATAACTTTTCATGTATCATTTACTTTTGCAATTAAAATAACAGACTTCTCATGCTTTTATCAATTTTCAACTGATTTGTCTAGTTAGAAGAAATTAGTGCCAAAGAAATATGGCATTTGTTATATAATTGCAGAAATTATTACAATTTTAAAAGCTTTTGATACAACCACTTATCTGAGGGACTTAATTCACTGATGAGACCTTAAAACATTGATGAACATGTTTTTAAATGTCTTAGCATTTCTATTTTGGACTACAACTGCAAAATGCCCAAAATATGCTCATTTTCTCACCTTAGCAATTCATAATTTTCTCCAATATGTAGCCTACACCGCATTTAGTATAAAATAGCTGAATATGGCATATCATTTATTGGGACCTATTATAAAACTTTTGACGTTTCTGGTTTTATCCCTGATTCGGGAAGGGAATGGGAGGCAAATGATTGATGCTTCTCCCTCACATTGATGTTTCTCTCTCCCTCTCCCTTCCTCTCCCTAAAAAGCAATCAAAACATATCCTTGGTGAGGATTAAGAATAAAAAAGAAAAGTCAATAAGATGGCTTCAGTTTCCTCATGCAGTATTGCAGCTTACCATCAAATAGCACCTAAATTTTTTTTAATATATATTTTATTGATTTTTTACAGAGAGGAAGAGAGAGAGATAGAGAGTTAGAAACATCGATGAGAGAGAATCATCGATTAGCTGCCTCTTGCACACCCCCCACTGAGGATGTGCCCGCAACCAAGGTATGTGCCCTTGACCGGAATTGAACCCGGGACCTTTCAGTCCGCAAGCCGACGCTCTGTCCATTGAGCCAAACCGGTTTCGGCTCAAATAGCACCTAAATTACAGTCCGACTTTTTCAAGCATGACTCAAAGAAAATCTAATCAGGCCATTGTTATTGTCTGTCAAGTTTAGATGGGGGAAAAAACATTCTTGAAATCGGCCTTTGAAACTCTGTTTTCAAGGTTCAGGTTTCAACTCTTCTACGACTTTTTAGAGATAAGTCATTTGTTTATGATTAATAGAATTTTCCATGAAGCATGGAAAGAATTTTAAAATTTTACTTTTAATTGTGTTACCATTCGTTTATGACCTAAGTTTGTCCTCAGGTAACCACTGCTTTTAGAGATGGGAAAATGCAATTAATTCTTTGGTCAGTTTTCATTCCTTTCTGGGGCCAGGAGGTAATAATAGTGCACGTACTTCGTGCAACAGGCCCACAGTTGACTGTTGTACTCAGCTTCCTAATTCCAGTAGTTGATGCAAACCTACTGTCCCTCATTGTCAAGCTAAGACTTTGGTCTGAGCAGAGGGGAGGAGCACAGAAGGGGGCATGGAAACAGCCCTAAGCACGAGCTCCCTGAGTAATTCTCAGGGGAGGAACTTTTATCCTCACATGTAGAGTTTCTGATTTGAAGTCCAGTAGTTGTTCTATATCCTGGTATTTTGCAGTGAGTGGCATAAATACCACTGTGGCACTTGAAAAGATTTTAGATGGTACAAAATGATTATACGCTGACTTTGACATATGCCAGGGTTCTTGTACCAGCATTTAGAAGGGTTCAGCAATCTGGAGAAAGACTGCATAGATTAAATAAGAGTCCAGAGACATAAGATAATTTTGAAAGGCATTGGGAGTCAGAGGAGCTTCAGCTAAAGGAGCTAAAGTTCTAAGTTCTCTCAGGACTCTTGCTTTTTATAATACAATTTGTCCTAAGGCAAGGTGGAGATAATACACTTCAAAGGGTAGGGTACAGAAGCATTGTCAGATTGGGGAATAGCCTATGGCTCTTCAGGTGTTTAGCCAAGAGGAGGCAATAGCAAGTAGATTGTGATACCTTGAGCTGTCTGGCAGCAAACAGTCATCCTATTCATGTTTGAGGGAAGTGCCTTTCAGCCATTCCAGCAGGTGATTACATATGTGACTCGGCCCTTGTTTGAGTCCCCAAGTTTTATTAACCTTTCAATGAAACTCTTGTAATTAGGACATGCTGGAATTAGACATATATGATTTTTTTAAATATATTTTATTGATTTTTTTTACAGAGAGGAAGTGAGAGGGATAGAGAGTTAGAAACATCAATGAGAGAGAATCATCAATTAGTTGCCTCTTGCACACCCCCTACTGAGGATGTGCCCACAACCAAGGTACATGTCCTTGACCGGAATCGAACCTGGGACCTTCATTCCACAGGCTGATGCTCTATCCACTGAGCCAAACCAGTTTCAGCTCCAGCAGACATATACTATTAAAAGTATATTACTTGTATATTAAACCCATGATTCCTCTAAATTTATTACCTAGAACCATCAATGAGGTATTTAAGTGAAGGAAAAGTGAATCTACTTTTAAAAAATATTAGGTTAGTAATAATATAGGTAGTCCAATGAAGCCACACTGGTGAGGGCTTCTTTTTTTATTCTCTTAATTACATGGTTTAGTTTCTCTATAGTTAAAATATGCCAGTATTAAAAGGTAAGACATGGTTTCCTTTCTGAATTATAAGGAAAAAGATGCTTTATAGATTTTGTGACTTCAATGGAGTAATTGCTTTTCGTCCTTCTAATTATTCTATTGGCTCAACCTGCTTTATTTTTCTTCTTAGCACTTACCATTGTATGTCACTATCATACTTGCTATATTTATTATCTCTTGCCTCCACTAGGCTATAAGCTGAATGAAGTAGAACTTTGTATTCTTCATGTAGTCTCCCAAGTACCTAGCACAATGCCCAGCACATAGAAGGTGCTTAGTAAAACATTGTTAAATGAATGTTGATTAGTGACTAAATTTTACAATTATAAAATCCTCTCGTTTTTAAAGCTCTACCAATCAGTTATCAGATCTGAAAAATACATACTTGTCAGCCACTTGACTTTTAGCCTGGTCACTTAACCACATAAGCTCTTACAGTGTATGTCTCTGTGTATAAAATGGAGATACCATCAACTCTTAGGGCATTTATAAAAGTAAACGAGATGACATTCATGAGAGTGTTGATCTCTTGTTGTAAGCATCTGTGTATCTATCCTTACGTCTGTCTATGTTTGAATTAAACCCTGTGGCACAGGATCTGACTCATAGTAAGTGAACCATAACTATTTATTAGCTTATTCATTTTTTATTAAATCAATTTTACTACAAATGTGATTATTTCCTTTCTAGTCATTGGTGGCCCTATCCAAAACCAAGGACAAGTAATCAATAGATGAAAGCATTGCCTTTGAATACCTTAACTCTTACCTTTTTTATATCTACAATATGAAGAGGTTTAAAAACATGGTGTTCTCCCAATGAAGTACATTTAGAGGCCAAAAATAGAACAGTACATTGAGAGACTGATAAGCACTAAAGTTGTCTTTTCTGTTCCTCCTAAAAAGTCAGTTTTGTTTTTCAGATGCTTTTCATATACAGAAACCAGTGTTAGGAAAAGGAAGAATTTGATTTTTAAAAATATGATTTCTAAGGCACTCTTTCTTTTCTCTCCCTCCCTCCCTCCATCCCTCCCACTCTTCCATTCTATTTGCAATCACTTTTAGATTATCTTTCAAGTTCAGATTTAACAGAAAGGCATCAGCCTGCCTTAGGGACTCAGCATTTTATCAGCAACAATTTTTAAATATATTTTTATTGAATTTTTACAGAGAGGAAGGGAGAGAGAAAGTCAAAAACATCAATGAGAGAGAAACATCAATCAGCTGCCTCCTGCACACCCCCTGCTGGAGGTGTGCAGGAGGCCTGCAACCAAGGTACCTGCCCTTGACCAGAATCGAACCCAGGACCTTTCAGTCTGCAGGCTGACGCTCTATCCACTGAGCCAAACAGGTTTTGATGCTCAGCAACATTTTTGTATGTTCCCTCATTTTGGTTCTGTCACAGTACAACAAAAGGGGGACATGATTCCCTTGCTATGCAGTAAAAGAGACTGAGGTCCGAGAGCAGTGATATGACAGTGCCTGAAGCCACACCGGTAGTAAACCAGAAAGCCAGGGTGATCACACCTGGGTTTTCCCTACTCTAAATTCAAGGCTGTTTTCATAGAGTATTAGTTCCATACTCTAAACTAAAATGGAATTTTTTATTTTGCACATTAAACAGCACCTTACTTCATTAAGATTTCTACAAGCTGAACAAATTGATTTGCAAGTTATTTATAGACATCATTTCACCCATCACTGAAAACCGTCTTTGCAGAGCTTTTAAAAAGTGCACAAAAATATTGCATGGCAGTTTAATGAAATAGAAGAAAAAAAGAGAAAGAATGATTGGAAACTACTGAGCGTTTATGCATAAACAAAGGAAGACATATGTGGGGGCATAGAGACGACTCCCCACTGCACTGCTGGGGCTTAGATTTAAGTAGCTTGGGCTTTTTTCACTATTTTTCAGGTCCTCTCAAGGCCAGGGCTCCTGACTAGAGCATTTGTCACTCAAATTACAGGGCTCCAAAACTGTCCTGGAACTGGGGTGTTCAGCAAGACAGCTGAAAGTAGCAACTGGTGGGGACCTGAGTCAGACTCAAAGAAGAGAGCAACAGTCGAAGCCAGAGAATAAGGTAAGTCTTCAAGTCACATGAAAAGGGAAGCCCCAATAGGAAGTGAGCCAGGGGATGAAAACCTTGGAAGCTCCAAGGTGAGTTGAGAAGCATGGCCTGGCCCACGTTGGACCAGTTGTTTCAGAATGAAGAATGTGTGGCCAGTGTGAGCAAGTCAAGCCATTGCCTGATGTTTCTGCCCTAATGGATTTCAGCTTCCGCATGAACCCCTGCAGTTTCCTAATGGCTTATAAAACCTAAGTAAAATCTATGTACAGATGGCAAGTACCATCCCACTTTACTCATTACACAGTCAAAGCACAGGGAGCTGGTTAAACGCCCCAGACTACCATGGCAGAGGCCATGAGGGACCAGGGTAGGACTCAGCTCTGCAATGCTGTCCTCTTGTTGTCTTCAGGGATGGATTTTTTCCCCAGGTTTCTTATCACCTGCTCCCCTAACCATTTGGCTTTCCTAATGGAAGGACCCGTGTTCAGCAAGTCAGCACCCTGGAGCCCAAATTTGTATGGTAACCTCCAGATCGACCCAGGGTTTCACCTTCCACCCTCCTTGCTTTTTTAGTGCTGACGTGCTCAAGTAACAGTATTGTCTGTAAAGTGCTGCTTCCCCCGGCTACTTGTACTCACTGTGTGAAGAAATGTGGACCATCCCTCTCTGATCATCACAGATACTGGTTTTGATCATCTTGGCCAAAAGGCATCATCAGGACTTCCTGAATGGAGGTTTGCTCTAAGGATGTCACCCTAGTTCCAGAGGGAGACCCCACTGGGGAGGGGTTCCTCTTCCGTTGGGTGCAGCATCCTGATTTCCATGGGGCAGATCTCTATTTCTTTTAGTACATACAACCCAGCTGATTCAGTCTCTCTCCTTGGCTTTGGAAACTTGAGTAAGTGACACAGAAACGGAAGGGAAAATACTTGAATCTGATTTGGCCCCGCAGGGTGACTGCCCATCAGTGTCTGCTTCCCGGAACCCCAAAAGAACCAGTGCCTGTTGTTTCTAAACACGAGTCTTGATTTTCTCTTAATCCAGGGAGTTCCTCCATTTCTTTCCAAAGAATTTCCATCTTCACATTAGCCAGAAAGTTTCTTTTCTTTGTAACCATAGAATCCTAAGGACTACCCTCCAAGGGGAGATGGTGAGTAGTCAGACACCGGAAGGAACTGCCAGGAAGTAGGAGAGAACACATAGGTGTGAGGAGCCCATATTGCCCTGGTGTGTTGATCGTAAGCATCTTTCTTAAGTGTGCTTCCCCAAATGACCCGAAATGCCCCCATTTAAGCTCAGGAAAGCTGCCCTGTCTGTATAAAGCCCAGTTCTGTTTGCTCTCAGCTACATCCCCATCTCCCCGTGTTGTGGTCCTTGCTACTCAGAGGCTCTAATTGGAAGCCTCCAAATAATAAAAGTGGGAAAATGAACTAAGCATTCTCTAATTAATGAACTTTGGTTGGCCACATCTTTCATGAAAAAATAAAAAGCATTTCTTGCAGATTTAGCAAAACATTCAGAGCACAATGTTTTACAGACAGGACCCTGGCTGCTGACTGTGTAATGCAGGTGACTTGATCAGAATGGCTGCATGTGGCCAGACCAAATGGCCATCGCCCTTCCATTTCCAGAACAGTGAGCTCAGCTCCCCTGCACCCTTCAAAGTGCAGCTCAACATTCATGCCATCTCCCTGGAACCCTCTCACTTTCAGGAGCCTCGCCCTTTGCTCCAGTCACACTCTATGAATGGACACCTGTGTTTCTCACCCTCTGGTTTTGTAATGGCTCATGTCCATCCATCTTTCCCACTAACCTGAAAACTCCTCTCTCTCGGTGTTTTCACTGCAGTGCTTACTATGGTGGCTGGCATACAGTAGACACTCAGTAGTTAATTTATTGTTCTTTAAAGTGATTAACTCATCTGAATTTTTTGTTTGTTTGTTTGTTTGTTTTTTAGAAACAGCTGTTTTCGGTTTGGTTCGGTTTTGTTTTTAATCTATTTCACTCCAAGATAGTACAGCCCATCGATACAGATATACACTGAGTGGCCAGATTATTATGATCTCTGAATGCATAATAATCTGGCCACTCAGTATATATATTAGAGGCCCAGTGCATGAATTCGTTCATGGGTGGGGTCCAGCCAACCTGGCTAGAGGGAGGAGACATTGGCGGTTGGCCAGCCTGCCTGCTGGTTGTACTTCTGGTCATGGGGACAATTTTCATATTAGCCCTTTATTATATAGGACTAGATACCCCTTGCAGGAAGATTTCTTCAATAGCGCTCCTGCTGTGGTCACTGCCCCGCCTGCTTCCCTTCCTTCTCCCCACCCTACCTGCTTCCCTTCCTTCTCCCCCGCCCCACTTGCTTGCTTCTCTGCAGTGCTTGGCTTCTTTCTATGCATCTTCAGTCTTCACTCTGGCCTGGATATGCAAATTAACCACCATCTTGATTAGGTTAATTTGCATACTCACCCTGATTGGCTGATGGGTGGGGCTTGTGGATGTTGCAAAAGTGCAGTCAATTTGCATGTTTCTCTTTTATTAGGTAGGATTTACACTGAGTAGCCAGATTATTATTATCTCTGAATCTGGCCACTCAGTGTAAAGTAGAAAGAGTGGAAAATGGATGTAAGCCATTACTTTTGGGGGGGTTTCCCTTTGGTCCTATTTTAAAAAATATTTCGCATCTTGCACCACTTGCTTAGAATAAGTACAAATTCGTTTAAACAGTTACATATTTTAAGATCAACTAAATAAATCTCTTTGGTCCCAATTAAGATGCCAGACTCGTTCTTAACAGTGCATTTGTGTGTACTTCTGCCATGTGTGTCCTGCTTCCTGCCCTGCGGCCAAGTCACACCAGATGATATGCTGGTGTGACCTGGAAGTAGGCCTGTCCACAGGCCTTCCCCTTGTGGGGTATGATATTAATGTGTGTTTTCCTTTGGCATTTTAGTTAAAACTTATAGGAAGGATAGCAGCTATAAAGAGAAGGTTGCTATTAGAGGAAGCTGGTATCTTTCTTCCTTCTAGTATTCATTCACAATTTAATTTAATTGATTCTGTCCCGTTTGGGCTTACAGAATGGCCCAGGTGTTTGCACTGGGCTACCTATATTTTGTGTGCAGCTGTCTGCTACCCGTACGGAGAAGAACGCCGAATGACACTTCATGAGTGCTACTTTAGACACCGAGAAGCTTACTCTGGGCCCAGCAAACATTTTGGGATAAATATTTATCACTGCAAGTCAGCGTTGTTAAAATTAGAATCTCACCTCACATAAAGCACATCCATGATGCAGGATAATGAGCTTTAGAGGCCCCTATCTGAGGTCCCGGTTCCAATTAGTGTGTGCCAGAGAGAACTGCATGAGAAATGTCAGCACTACAATAGAGCTGGCAGATTGGGCAGGAGAAGTGATGATAAATCACCCTAGCAGAACCCATCAATCAGGGCCTATTTCTGTTGTGTGAAGGAGTTGTTTTGGCAAACTAGTATTTGTCATTCCCTCTGAAATATTCTGCAAGCATAATGTACTATTTCCCAGTAGAAGGTTGACTGAATGAGTCTCTGGAGAATACAACTAAGTGATCTCCCCACTCAATAACCTATAGATCATCAATGTGTTTGTGATGATTGTGCTGAGAACAAAGATACTAGCCAAATGTGCTATTGTTATATTAGGAAGCTCAATTATTGCCCACCCCCTTTTTTTAATGGTTGTGCTACATAGAGAGTGTCTTGCCTCCAAAACTTTTATTAGCTAAGCAATATGAACCAGGGATAAAGGAAAATGGAGACACCAAAATCCCAGTGAGACCCAGTTTCTCCTCTGGACCATGGATTGTTTTCTGCACTGTGTCCCAGACTCCACCTAGGTCAAACAATAATCGCTGCCCTCTTGAGATTACCTTCTAGAGGAGGAGCTCAGAAAGTAAACAATATAAAATGAGTAAATGAGATAGTATTCTAGCAGGTGAGAGGGCTATAGATGTGCAGTATCTCAGCACAGAGCAGATAGTGAGATCTATTGGTTATCTGGGGTAAAAAGTATTTTAGAGAGGAAGATCAGGGTCAAGAACCTGAAGTGTAGTGGGAGAAACATGAGAAAGGACAGATTAGATCAGAGAGGAAAGGTGAGGGGTGGATGGCCCTTATAGATCTGGAGGGTCTCCCATTTGCAGGAACCTGTGGTAATAAGAATGACACCATTTATTATGACACTAGTAGCGCAGTGCACAAAATTTGTGCATGGGGGCTGTCTCTCAGCCTGGCCTGCGCCTTCTCCAATCTGGGACCCATTGGAAATCCCTCTCACAATCTGGGACTACTGGCTCCTAACTGCTCACCTGCCTGCCTGCCTGATTGCCCCTAACCACTCTGCCTGCTGGCTTGCTTGTCCCCAACTGTCTCTCCCAATGACCTGATTACCCCTAACTGCCCACCCCCATCAACCTGATCACTCCCAACTGCCCCCTTGCCATCCTGTTTGCCCCCAACTGTCACTCCACCAGCTCGATCACCCACAACTGCCATCCCCTCTTGGCCTCTAATGACCTCTACCTTGGCCCCATCACCATAGCTTTGTCCAGAAGAACATCTGGAAGGTCTCCTAGTCTAATTATCATATTACCCTCTTATTAATATAGAGGCCTGGTGCACAGGCGGGTGCTGGTTGGTTTTCCCTGAAGTGTATACCCAGATCAGGGTGGGGGTTCCTTGGGGGGTGGGGTGGCCTGGGTGAGGGGCCTGTGGTGCTTTGCAGGCGGACCATGCCCCCATTGAGGTAGCTGTCCCACTGGGAATGGTGCCAGCCTGGGTGAGGGGCTGAGGCAGTTTGCAGGCTGGCCATGTCCCCCGGGGACCCTTACCCCATGGGGGCATGTCCAGCCTGGGTAAGGGGCTGAAGGCCATTTTCAGGCTGGCCACACCCCCCAGCAGGGACCCTCACCTTGATGGTGTCATGGCTAGCCTGGATGAAGGGCTGAGGGCCATTTGCAGGCCCTTCC